GAGTGAATAATTTTATCTTATATTTTTGAGAAAAATTGTTTTTCATAACATTAGTATGTCTTTCACCTCTGCACGTGTTCTATGCGAGACTTATCATTTCAATGGAATAATATTCATTTATCTAGCATCTTCTATTGAATTTTAAAAAGAACACTAAGATAATTTTATTTAAAGCTGCAAAAATCGTCGAAAAATATATCCAAGCAAGTAGGATATGAGACAACAAAATTTCAAAACAGAAAACTTTTCAAACATAAGATTGTCAATATAAATACCTTTAGGAATATAAAGAATGTTACAAAATTAAAATCATAATCATCTAATATGATGAATATTATTCCATTGAAACGATAAGTTTTATATTAAATCTATTCAGATAAAACCACATAAAGCTGTTATGAAAAAAATTCTTCTCAATGAAATGTAAGATGAAATTAGTTATTGGAGATTAGTACGATAGGAAAATAACATTGGTCTAGATTGATGCATTCTACAAAATTATATATTTCAATCAATGAACAGTTTATAAATTCATTGTCTTCTTAGATTAACTTGTCATATATGTTTATCTACAACAAAATGGTAATGAGACAAATGCTTGTAAGGTTTCTTATATCAAACTATCAGCTGTAACTGAGAGTTTCTACACTGAAAAAACTGATTTTGGTGTGGGTGAGTTTGGATGAGGTCAGAAAGAAGAGATTCACCCACATCGTACAAAAAAGCTTGTCAAACTCGTGAGAATGTGTGCGTAGGGCACATCTGAAATTCATTTTTCTTTGACTTCGTGTGGAAGATGCAAGAACAAAAATAAATGGTAATTAACAGCTGGTAATTTCTTTATATAGTTATAAATGACTTAGTGTTTTAGTGAGCATTAATATCTCGTTTCTTATATGCATGGACACGTTAATCATCGTTTTGTATAAATTAACTTTATCCATGAAAGAGTCTCGAAGATTTACTATATATACAAAATAAAAAGAACAATAATGTTCTAATAAAGGAATATGCAATTGATATTCGTAATCAATCAATGTCCAACTTCATTTATTCATAAGAGATAAATTAGATTTTAAAAAATAACGATGAACATATATGAGAATTATGAAAATTCTGCAGTCAGACGTCTTTTCTACTCGTGCTTAGTTTGAGTGGAGATCTAGTTTAAATATGTTACTGTTATTGAACAATGAAATGTTGTAATAAGTTTTAACTTTTAAAATATTAATATATAAGGATAAATTTGAAATAATATAATTATTTAGTGTAAGAATATTCAAAAATAGAATACATTTCAAGTTGTTTATTTTCGGTCAGTTATATGTGAGAAAGGAAATAGAACAAGATGATAAAGGGAAAAGGAGTTAAAATAGCGTTTGATGTCAAAATGTAACTGGAAATAAATTGATTATTAATAATAAAAAATATCTTTTGGTCAAATATTAGTGTTATTGTTTTTCATGTAGGAGTAATTTTTGTATACATTCTATTGTACAACTAATAAAGAATATTAATACAATTTAATATCAAACACAGAAGATCTTTTCATCTGATTTAACTTACGAAACAAAATTTAAAAAGTTTTGCTTTATTCATGTTGAAAAGTTCTTATGATCCTTTCACAAAAACAAGTCTAAGTACAAAGAAATAAAGAAATATTAGCAGTTTCATTTTATTATAATCATACAAAAAGTATATAAAGAATGAGTATTTCAACTTTGCAGATCATGGAATTGTTTCTCATAAAGTTGATCATATTCATCTTCGCCATTAATAGTAAGAACAATGACTTGCAAATGAGGAAGTAGCTCGACAATTAAATAGGCAATGTTTACCAAATTTGGTTGTCACAAAACAGGAAAAAGATTGAGTTATCGTAAGCCATTTGACATGAGCATTCTGCACAAAGAAATATTATCGAATAGATAGATTAAATTTTCCTCTTTCAAATAACGTTTAGTATCATATTCTGATCTATAATACAGTTCCAGAGTACGTAGATTAGTCGTTTGCAAAAAGGCAAAGATGAGTTGAATTGAATGGTTGAGTATAATACTAAGTGATTTTATTTGATGCCAAACAACGATAGACGGTGATAAGGAAAGAAATTCATCGTTGATATGATCATAGTAGTCACTGATAACAATTCTATTGCAACGAAACAGCTTATTATTGAAGGTATGACCTTGATATGGTCATCGACTTCTTCTAAATTAAACAAAAAAAAAACTTTCTATTTATACTCATGCACAGTTTTATGTAGATAAAAATAGACACATAAATATTCATCGCTTCTTGATACTGCTACAGCTCTAATAGAGTGTATATGTAGGTGTTCAACAAAAAAAGACACTCATACCCACATCCAGCTCTTCTACTCACAACTATCGTTGGTGCTGCAGCTGTGAATGACTTATTTGTCGTAGACGACGATGTGCCACTAGCATATCGTGTAAAATTTTTCTTGTTCATTTTAATGATAATGAGGATGATAGTGATGGCCTTCTGATTCTTTTTCAATTTGCGTAAATGAATGGAAACATGGATATTTGTTGCACCCTTTATGAATCAGCAAAACAAAAACATTTCGTCTCTATCTTGGGTGTGAGTGAAAGAAATACCAACACACAGGCCTAGAGGCAGATTCACATCCACACTCACATCCTGAGTGGGCGTTGAGGTGGCTCTCTTCAGTATCATCTCACCTCCACACCCCATACCCACACCCACACCCACACCCAATGTTAATCATTTTGTTTTTTTTTGATTATTTTAGAATAAAAAAAAAGCTAAAATGTCAAATAAAGATGATGAATCAATTGAAATGTTATATTCAAAATCATGTCTTGATTTAAATATGGATACGGAAACAAAGTTAGATGCATGACATTCATATGAACATATTCGTAAACATTATGTTTTAGAAGGTGATCAATTACATTGGTTAACTATTTCATTATATGTATCATGTAGAAGATATAAACATCTAACAACAAATTAGAATAATCCAATATCAATATCACGTTTATTAAAAAGTGCTAATCATTTAGAATTATTTGTTTTTTTTTGATAAATTACACAAATGGGAAGGTATGACCAATTTACCTGATTCAATTTGATCAGAAATCGATCAAGTGTTGAACATGTTTTTAATATATCATCAATTATATTTGATAAATATACCAAAAATATTTATTGAAATATTTGGTGGAAATCAATATAAATTAATTTATCCGTCAACTATCAATGATCTGATTGCTTCATTTCATTTACTTATTTCTAGTTTTTTCTTTTATTTATGATTATGTCAAATTAGCCAAATTAGATTA